ATAGTTTATTTATTATGAGAATAAAAAGAAAAAATACTCCGAGACCGGGAATTGAACCCGGGTCTCCTGCGTGACAGGCAGGAATACTAACCACTATACTATCTCGGATTTTATGTAAATATAATATAATTTTAAAACAAAATTAATTTTATTTACTTATAATTATTGAGTAATATATATAAGATTATTTAGCAATAATGGTAAAATTACATTTATAAAAAATAAACTATATAATTAAAGAAAAATACAATTCATAATAATAACAATTTTTTTTTATATATTATATAGAATTAGGATTTTATTTAAAATAAATAAAATAAATACAATTATATTATTTAAATTTAAAAAAATGAATTTCTTTTGTTTATGTAAAATAAAAAAGAATATTGATATTTTGTATTTTTAAGAAAATAATCCTTTATAATAGCAACAATTATTAGATGAAACACATAAAATAGGAAGTATAATTTAAGATTTGAATTTATAATCACCAAATGAATATTAAAAAATATATACATCGAATGGAATTTGGTATATATCATTAGACAATAAAGGTTGTTATTATTTATTATTATGTTAAAATTCATATCCTTAAAACTCATCTTTTAGATTTTTAAAAGATATATAAAATTTAATATAAAGTATACATAATTATGAAAATTAACCAATTAATATTTAAAAGTTTACATAAAATAAAATATATAATCTTTTAAAAAGTTACGATTAAAATGTAAATTATAATTATGATATTTTAGTGAGTGAAAAAAGTTTAAATTCTATACATGTAGAAAATTTAGAAAATAAAAATTTTCCTGATTAAATCCAAAATGATTCATATAATTAAAATATTTAAAAAAAAATGGATTTCAAAGAACTTATATGTTATGGAGGTCTTATATTTTTAGCCGCAATGTTTATTATTTTTATTTTTGTTAAATTATGTTGAGAAATAAAATATTATATTAGCGTTTTTTTTTTTTTTTTATTTTAATTATAATGTTCTTTTTTTTTTGATTTATATAAATTATATTTTCTCATTTTATTATTTGTTTTAAAATTCAATTTTAGAGTTTTTTTTTGTAAATGAGAGAAATATAAAATATTTTTTAAAAAATAAATTAAAATAATAAAAAAAATAAAAAAAAAAAATTAGTTTTCTTTATTTTTATATAGTTTATTTTTTATATATATGAACAATTAATTATAAGATTAATAAATAAAAAATACAATTTCAAATTCAAATATTAGTCAATCTTAATTATAGCAAAATATCTAAACATTTTCTAAATACTTTTCAGAAAACAATCATGATTAATAGCTTCTACCAAAATACATATAAGTTTATATAATAAAAATATAACAAGTTGAATTATAATTGAATATAAAAAAAGATTTAAATTTAATTGCGGAAATATAATTTGGGTAAGCAACATATAAAACAAATGTGAGTTAATTATATAAATGTTATGAAATAAAAACTGTAGAATTTATTTTGGATGATCAATAAAAAATACAATAATAATAATTTAATTAAATAGTTGGAATCTAAATAAAATTTATATAAAATATGGAAGAAATTTTAGTAAAAATAAATAAATTTTTTTATATAAAAAATTAAAAAAAGATAGGAAAATGCTCATTTATTATTCAAAAATTTTTATATTAAGAATTCTGGCATAATATATATAATGAAAATTAAAATATAATAGGATAAATATTAATAAAAATTGATTTAGAAGTAAATAATATTTAACACACTTATTAATCTTTTATAAACGAAAATCATGATAAAAAATAATAAAGAAGAAGTGAATAATGTAAGAATAAATTATAAAATAACTAAAGAATTCAAAAAAGTACAAATTTAGTGGAGATTTAAGACGAAAATAATGAAAAAGAAAATGAACTTTTGGAAAAATTATAATTGCTAAAAAGCGAAAGTGAGAGTATGTAAAAAGAATAAAATGAGATAAAATAATAAGATTTAAATATAAAAATAAAAGAAAATTAATTAATATAATAAAAGAAATAGATTGAAATAAAAAAATAAGAATTAGAATTATAAATAACTTAATTAAAGGAAAGTAATTTTGAAATTTAAAAGAAAAATAAAGAATTAAGAAATTTAAATAATAATATAAATGAAAATAAAATAAAAAATGAGTTTTTAAAAAAAGAAATTAATATAATAAATAATTAGTATTTAGAATTTTGTGATATTTTATAAGAAAATCAAAAAAAATATTCGAATTTATAAATGAAATAAAAAATGCTTAAACTTAAAGTTATTAATAATTTGGATGACGTAAAAAAAATTATTAAAGGATAAAAAATTCAGAATTTAGGAAAAATTTAAATTAATAAGATAGGTGTGGATGTTATTTAAGATTATTAAGTTGCTTTAAAAAATGTTTAAAATAAAATCGAATTCTTTAATTAAGTTATTTGTGATAAAAATTAAGAAATTGATATTTTAAGGGATGAAATATGCAAAATTTAATAAAATTTTGATGAATAAAATAATGATTGATTTTTTGTTTTTTTTGTTTTTATTTTTTACTCTATCATTTTTTACATAAATAATTTTTTTTTTTTTATTAATTTATATTTAAATAAAAATATTTCTTAATATTAAACTAGGGAAAATATGTAAATGTATATATATATTATAATATTTATATATAAAATAATATTTTATTTAAAATTTCTTATTAACTACAAATAAATATAGTTTTTATTTAATACAAAAAAATAAATAAAAATTATATAAATAAATAAAATTAAAAAAAATCAATAAAAAATGTCATAGTAAGCTTAAGAAGGAATGGGTATTGAATATTTATTTGGATATGTTGGAGTAGCTAGTGCATTAGTTTTTGCAAGTACAAATATAAATTAAAATTTAAAATTTTATAAACTTTACAAATAAAAAAGATATTGGTGCGGCATATGGAACAGCAAAATCTGGAGTAGGAATATCATATATGGGAATATCAAAACCTGAATTAATTATGAAATCAATTATACCTGTTGTTATGGCTGGTATTTTGGGTATTTATGGTATGATTGTAGCTGTTATTCTTGTTTAAAAAAGTATTTTAAAAATAAATATACTAAATATTTTTTTATTTTATTTTTCAAAAATAAAAAAAGTTAACAAAAAAGTTTATTCATCTTACGAATGTTTTTCTCATTTAGCTGCTGGGTTATGTTGTGGTATTTCTTCGCTTGTAAATTATTATTATTATTTTATATATTTATTTATTTTAATATATATAGGCAGCTGGTTTGGCTATTGGTGTTGTTGGCGATGCAGGCGTTAGAGCAAGTAATTTTTTTTTTTTTTTTTAAATAATCTTATTATATTAGATGCTTAATAAGAAAAAATATTTGTTGGAATGATTTTAATTTTAATTTTTGCAGAAGCTTTGGGACTTTATGGGTTAATTATTGCACTTATTTTATCTTAATGAAAAGAATTTTTTGTTTGTTTTAATTTTAAGTTTCTTTTATTTTATAATTATATATATCATAAAAAAAATGAAGAAAAATAAAAATATAAAGAAAAATAATTTTAAATAATTTTTTTTTAAAGTATTTTAAATATATTATTTATTTATTAATTAATTAATATAATAATAATTAAAATTCTTAAAAATATTTACAAAATATTTAATTTTTTATTAATTTATTAATAAATATTTTATTATAAAAAAAAAAAAAAAAAAAAAAAAAACTAAAAAAAATAAATATCAAAATTTTATTTTATTAAAATCAAATTTTCTTAAAATAACTATAAATATCATTAACTATTAAGTTTCTCTTTTATAATTTAATGTTACAAATTTTTTTATTAAGATTATTATTTCTAAAGCAATTATTTTTCAGTTTATTTATATTAATTCAATTATTTTTAAAGAAGATTTTTTTCTATATTCGTTTTAATATATTTTTATTTCCAATTTTCGCAATCTTTTTGACTTTTTTTTAGTTCCTTGCTTTTATTTTGTAAAGATTTTATACATTTTTCAAGTTCATGAGCTAATTATAGTGAAATATTATTTTTATATTAAGATTATACTATTTAATCTTATTATTAGGTATTGTTTTTTCTAAAAAAATTCTATTAGTTATATAATAGCTTAAATTGTTCATTTAAAACATTTATTTAATTATTTAATTAAGATATATGTGCTTTATATTGTAAATTTTCTTATTTCAAATTTTAGTTTTGGATTTAAAGAAGTTGATTTTCGGAAAGTTCTGTTGAAGTATATTGTTCTATATTTTGTTGATTTTTTTAAGAGATATTTTCGAAAAAATTGTTTTTTTCTTTTAATAATAAAGTAACTTTATCTAAATCATATATAATATTTAAAAAAATGCCTTGAAAATCTTTAAGATAAGTCGTTTATAATTCATAATTGTTATTTAAATATGTACTATTTGATTTTTTTTATTCACTATTAAATTATTTTACTTTCATTAAAAAAAATAAAAAAATATTTTTAATTATTAAAAAAAAAAAAATTTTTTTTAAATAAAATAAAATAATAAAAATTAAATATTTTTTTATTTTTTCAAATCTCTATATATATTTTCAATTATCTTAATTAAAATTCAATTTGAGTACAAAACTTTATTTCCAATTTTTTTTTTTTTTTTTTTCTCGGTTCTTATTTAAAAATATATTTTAAATAAAAAAATCCTTTAAACTCCTTCCATTTTTAGAAAAAATAAAAAAAATTTAAGCAATTTTTAATTTTTTTAATTTTCTAAAAATGAACGAGTTTTTTCTTTCTTTCTCCCAAACAATTAACTTTCTGTTAATAATCATACTATTTTTTCTTAATTTTTTTTTTTTTCGCTTTTTAATATTTATTTTATTAATCCTTGAAAAATTATTATTTATTTTTCATTTAAAACACTATATAATTTCATAGAAATATAGATTTTAGACAATTAATTATATTTTTGAAAAATCTTCCATTTATTTTCATTTATATCGTATTTTTCTACACTTTAAACAGACATATATTAACTCTATGATTCAAAAAAAAAAAAACATATATTATTATTTATTATCCCCATTAAATAATCATTCATTAAAAAATATTTATCGCATATTTTAGTGCATATATCAGATTTATAAGAAAGATTTCATTTTTATTTACTTATTTATAAAATTACTTTAAAAGAAAAAATTACTTAAGAAATAAGTTATTAAATGAGGGTTTATACGGAAAATTTTGGAAAGAAAAAATTAAATGTTTTTTTAAAAATAATTATATAGGAAAAAAGTATTATAATATTTTTATTTAAAAGTTTAAATAATAAAATCTTCCTTTTGAATTTTTGTATCAAAATTTAAACAACCTTTCTTCAATTTTTTATTATTAAACTAAATTTGTTTTTTAAGGTCTTTTTTTAATTATTCGTTCTTTCTTTCTTTATATCAAATTTTTTCAATTAAGTTACTTTCTATCAAATTTCATTTTATAAAAATAATAAAAGTTTTTAATTTTTTTCACATATATATAAAATATTAAAAAACTATCATGAATCATAATGATTTATAAGCATTTTATTTAACAAAATAATTTATTTATAAACTTACATATACTTATTTTTTATGTTTGTTATTTTTATTAATTTTTATAATTTTGATATTTATAATTAATTTATATTAATTATGAATAAAATATATTTGAACAAAAATAATTAAATTATTTCTTCATTTTTTACTGTTATTTAGTTCATCATCATCAGAAATTTCGCTGTAATCTGAAAGATATTTGTTTCTATTTATATTAAGCTATAAACTTTAAATTTAATCAATTTAGTCTAAAAGTTATTCAAAATTAGATTCATTTAATTCGTTTTCATCACTATCTGTTTAAACAGGTTCTTTATATATAATTTATTCGCATAATTAAGAATAATTATCATTATAATTAATTTATTAATTGTTTATTATTTTGAAAATGGTATTTTAGAGTGAAAATTTTATTTAATTTTTAATTATTATTTAATTTTTAGTAAATATTTATAAGATAGAATATATGTTGCAAATTTAACATATTGTTTATATTATTTTATAAAAAATTTATATTTAAAAAAAATATATATAATACAAAGAATTTCTTTGACTAATTAAATAAAACATATTTTAATTTATTTATATAATTTTAAATTTATATATATATCTATAATGTATAACATACAGTTTATTTTTTAATAAAATCATAATATACATCTAAGAAATTATTGTAAATAATTTATATATTTTTATCTTTATTTAATTTTAAATTATAAATAAAAATATAAAAATTTAATAATTAATATATCAATTTTCTCAAATAAAATTAATCATAATTATACATATAAAAATAAAAAATTTAAATATTAAATTTAAGTTTAAAATAATACATAAACTAAAATGTTTTAAGAAAATGATTAAAGCTACTTATGTATTTAAAAATGGTATAAGTTTACCTAATAATTTAAACAAATACCTTTATATGAAAATCTATAATAAGAATTACAAGATAATATATAAAGTTAATGTTATTAATTAAAAATAATACAAGTTGAAGGACTTACATATTAAATAAATGTATAATAAAAAAATATTTTAAAATTAAAACAAAACAAAAAAAACAAAAAAAGAATCCAAAAATTGAATAACTTAAAATAAAATTTTACTTCAATTTTTATGAAAAAAATTAAAAAAATTTTTTGGTAAAACATATATTTCAAAGCCCTTTTAATTATATCCAATATAAGATAAAATTAACTAATACCAATTATAAAAATCATTTAACTTTTCATTATTTTTTGAAGCAAAACTATATAAAAATACAGACATAAGTATTTTTATATAGCCTTAAATAACAGAATTAAGTCAATATAACGTTATTTTAAACACCCGAATTTTAGGATTATGCCAAATAAATATATAATAAATATAAATAAAAGAATAAACTAATTAAATAAATCAAAGTAAAATATAATACTAAAAAATAAAAAAAAAAAAAAAAAATTAAAATAAAAAAGAAATACAAATAAGAGATTTTCTCATTGACCGAAAAATAAAAGACGATAAGTATTTAAGCAATTTAAATTTGACTTTTACATTTAATAAAAGTCCATTTTTTAGTGAAATATCTCGTTTAATACCTTCGTTCTTTCTGATCTCTAATGAAGATATAATCCCTGGTCTTTTAAACGATTCTATTTTAGAAGGAGGAGGTCTTTTATTACCTACAGAAAGTATATATTTAACAAAAGTTGAAATAATAATCAAACCTGAAAATTTCGAAAAACAAATATTAAAATTAACCACTTAAAAATTACTAAAATAGTTTGGTAAAGAAACATTGGAGAGAATAAATTTAAAGGAAAGAAAACTAATATGTGCATTCCATAATGGATACCAATTAATAAATAGTGGAAAAAAATAGAACAAAGTAATCCTAAATGAAAGGAAAAACGAAGACACAGAGAATAAATAAATCCTCGTTTTTAACGGAAAATAAGAAATAGATAGTATTTTTGAGCATCAAGTGTCTTGTATTATTTTATAATTAGAATATGAATTAGAATTTATTACTTTTGGGAAATAAATCTAAAATAAAATCATTTCTTGGGTCCCTATTAATATTTCAAACTAATGGAATTCTAAACAATCTTTTTTATTTAGGAAAAAATGATTTCTAGAGGAAAAAATTTCAGTGGAGAATTAATGTCCAATTTTTAAAATCAGGAAATTATTATCAATTGTGAATTCTAAAAAAGTCTTATACAAAAACAAAAAAAATCATAAGAAAATTCTATTATACATGACAATAAAAAAGAAAATAATTTGTAAAAATTAGAAACTATTCAAAAGCCTAGAATTCCAATAATCTCTTATTCCCCTTAAAAATATATATTAAAATCATAATAAAACTCTTTTTAATAGTCAAACATGGTTTCAGATAAAGAAAATATTTATTAAAATAGTCTATTATATATACAAGAAGATTAATAAGATGATACCATAGTAGAAAATAACTTGATAAATGCTCAACTAGGAGGTAATTTTCCCCTTCCAAAAGTGTATAATAATTAAGAAATGATAAAATTAATTAATAAAAATTTAGATTTGGAATAAAAACCTTTAGAAGAAGAATAAAAATATACAGAAGAAATCCAAAATCCATCCTTAATAAATATATAATTAATCCAAATAAAAAATTCATAAAATTTTTTACCTTAAAATATGTTTATTATTTTTGATTTTTTTACCCAATAAAATATAAAAACAGAATCTTTTTTTATCGAAAAAGAAACTTAAGTTTTAAAAACTGAAAAAAAAGGAATTTTATAATTTTCTTTTAATATTTTTTAAAAAAATAATGAAGATGAAAAAAATGAACATTTTTCAATTTATGAAGATTTTTTAGATTATTTAAATTAAAAAAATTAGCTTTTTTTTAAAATATACGATGCCTAATCATTGTTTTTTATTGCTTTTTTTACAATTAATTTATCTTTTTTTCGCAGAAAAGATCAAAAATAAATATCTAAATAAATCCAAGTTGAAATTTTTGAATAAAAAACATTATAAAGTATAGCTAAAATGAACCTTTTAATTGAAAATATATAAAAAACTTCCATTAAAACCATAAAAGAACCTATTTTAGAACAAAAAAAGATAAAAAATAAAGTCTTTTCAGCCACTCCATATAAAATAGAACCCGAAAGTATAACTTAACAAATTCAAGAAGAAGATGAAAAAAAGTAAAAATAATCGAGAAATTTAAAAAAAAGTAAATCCAAAATTTCAATAAAGAGCAAGAAATTGAACAAAACCTAAATAGAAGATCAGAAGATTTATTTAAATTCGGATTAGAATAAATAAAAAACCTAAAAGATTAAAAAAAAGAAATTTTATTAAAAGAAGTAATTTAAATGAAATTTTCTTAAAAAAAAAATTAATATAAATTTTGGAGAAACATAAATTGTAAAATTTCCCTTTTAAAATCCTTTCAAAATTTAAAAAGATTTCCGAATTTTTATTGGAGAAAATGAATAAAATATATATTTAAAAAAATAAGGTTTCTTTTTAAATTTTATTAATAATCTTTAAGAATATAATTATTTTTCAACTAAAAAATTAAATAATTCATTCTTTTTTGAATAAAATAATGTCTTTATTCTATAAAAAAACCAATAAATTGAACTTTTCTTCAAATTTTAGTCTTTCTCGAAAAATTCATAATAACT